TATACGACAAACGCGATACACGAAAATTACTGATTTAATACAAAAATAAACGATCAAAATAGCCACGAATCTCGTTAAATTTCATCTAAATTTCATCTCGAGATCACGAATAATAATTCTCCGTTGACGATGGAGTCTTCGACTAGATGCGAAGAAAATTAACACAACCTACCATGGTCAAATAACCGGTGAATGGAAAAGAAGCAGAAGCTTTAAAAAGTGGAATAACAGGAGACATTGAGAAAATTATTATACGAATATTGGAAGAAAAATCACGAAGACGAGTGAAAACATTGAACGCGGAATTTTTAAGTAACGTTTGGAAAATGGTAATTTAAACCATGGTAAGTTTAGTGTTAATCGATCATTCCAGTCTCCCGCAAATCGTTAAAAAGTAGTTGGATAAGCTGAGAAAACACGAGTATCAGAATTCGAAGAAACGAGGAAACGACTCTGGAAGCTATCGTTTGTTCGTCCCCAAGTATCGAGATACTGAAAAGGATCGAGGCAAGAAAAGGACGAAGTTGTCGATCGAAAAAGCAACGAGCAAGATCCAAGGGCGAACCTAAATCTTCGAAGACTCGGATAGAATGGTAAACAGTATGTTAACCTCGCGAATAAACGTGCTTTCCGTTCGTTAAGGGTTATTGGCGAAAAGCCACGACAACAATGATCGTCGCCGGTTTCGTAACGATCTTTCGCGCAACGTGATCGTGTCATTCTTTTTATCGTCCCCGGCAACGATCACGGGATCTGTTGGTCGGTTTTCAAGCCTCGTCCAACGTAATCGAGATCCTCGAACGGTACGTATAGGAGGAAGGCAGGAAAGGTCACGGCTCTGACCCATTTCGACGTTTTATCGGCCTACTACGCGAGCAAAGTTCGCGTCTCGCGGTGCACGGACTGGCCCGCGCTTCGTGGAACGAGATTACATACATACGTGACTTCCGTTTTCTCGCCTCTTGTTTTTACACCGAACATTCTGCCCTCCTTTAGTCGTCCCGTGCTTTATATTTCACGGAGAAACCTGAAAAATCGCCGAAATCCTCGGTATCGTTGCGATCCGGTAAATTAGGATTTAACGCGAGCGTTTACGAAGCCTAAATGTCGAGAAAAAATTTTGTAATTTATTCATTCGATCATCGGAACATGGCGAAACAAACGTTTCTTAAATGGAGTTCGGTTGAGAGTGAAATTTATTCAGCGAGGTAGAAAATGGCGGATGGATGGAGTAACTATGTTTCCAATTTGATATTTAACAATTTTTATATTTTATTTATACCATTATTGGGACATGGTGAAACAAATCTTTCTGTAATGGGATATTGATGTGAAATTCATTGGACGTAGAAAATGGCGGACGAATGAAGTAATTATGTTTCCGATCTGAAATTTAACAATTTTTATATTTTATTTATACCATTATTGGGACATGGTGAAACAAATTCTGCTGTAATGGGGTATCGATGTGAAATTCATTGGACGTAGAAAATGGCGGACGAATGGAGTAATTATGTTTCCGATCTGAGATTTAACAATTTTTATATTTTATTTATACTATTATTGGGGCATGGTGAAACAAATTTTTCTGTAATGGAGTATCAACGTAAAATTGATTGGACGTAGAAAATGGCGGACTGCAGTGAATCTCGAAGATTGTGGATTTAGTTGAATTTAATGGAATTTAATTGAATTTAATTTAAATTAGTTGACCCTTGCGAATAGCTGGATTTCGAAGATGTTTTATGATACTCTTGTTTATGTAGAGATAATAGTCGAAGAATATTTCCGTTCAGTATTTCTGGAGTAATCTTGGTCGTATAAAGTACAGTCTTCAAGGTAACGCCTTGTGGAATAGATAATCAGTGATTCTTAACCTGTGGTACTCGTGATACATAGATCATTTTCAAATAGAACTCGATAAAATTAAATAAATAAATACTAATTTAAATTTAAAATTGGTAGATACCAATCAGATAAAAGAGGAACATCAAATTGAGAATATCGAGTCTCCGTCCACAGAAAAGTCCCTACATGGATTTCTATGATACACAAACAGACACGATTTAAAAATTCGTTCATCGGAATTTCCAAAATTAAAATTTCTCCATACCAAAGAATTAAACACAGATTTATCCTGGATTTACTTTAAAAAATATTGCGAAGCCTCGAGATCGGTGATCATTGGAGGTGTTCAGAGGTGGAGAACTAGATCACCGGTGACCTTCACGGCAAGGAATGCGTGAACGTGTTCGAGAGATCCTCGTGCAGAGGCGAAAGTGTTCGACGAGGCTGACTCACGACGAAATTTTATCTTGGCCGGCGATTTGCCAAATATCGAATCGCCGCTTGTTCAGCAGCTTTCTCCCGAGCCAAACGATACTTCCGCCCTTCGATTCCTCCACGGTTCGTGTCTATTGCCAAAGAAAATTCGTTTAGCTGCGGTTAACCATGGAACACACAGTTCAAGGAGCTTCGCGCCGCTCCTATCGATTATTCGTTAACCTTATCGAAGTTTATGCCGCCGATGGTCACGTAGCGTTTTAATCGCGTTTCGTAAACGAGGAAAATCGGACGTCTGAAGTTTTGCAACCGCGGACCGAGTTAGCGTCACCAGTGGCGCTAGTAGTCTCGCGTGAGATATCTCTTGCGGCATATAGCTCAACGCGGAAAATTAAAATGCATGATACAAGATACTCCCGAGTGTCAGAGGAACCCGAATTAGCTTAAAGGAAGATATCATAGATCAGATAAATCGGATTTAAGAGGATTTTTCTATTACCTTCTAATTTCCTATAGCCAAGAAATCGGAAGATCGAACCGAGATTTCGTGAAACATATCTCAACGAGAAATTCTGAATCTTTGTTACGCGTAATGGGTAAATAAAAGGAAGATAAATTAGATAATTGGGGTTAAATAGGATTCTTTACTTTTCCCCAGCTTCTGATAGCGGTTTGAGAACAGGTTGACGTGTAATTCGACGGGAATCAGAAGTTTCGGGAAGAGAAAAAAGGCAAAAAGGAACGTATAAGCATCGTTTGCCACTTTAAAAGAGTGCTCGAGACATTCGCGATTGTATATTTATGAACGTCGACCGAACGGCGCAGAATGTGTAGTGGTTCCGTCTTCAATTGGTCTCGTTCACGAAGATATTTGCGTCCCACGTTTTACGCTGATCATATCTTAAAGCGTGTTACAAACAGCGTTCGATATCTCCTGAATTTTACTGACACCCTATCGTTGCGTCTTGTCGACGCTCGTAAAAATTCGCCACGATTCCTCCCTGTCTGGTTCACGATAGTATCAAACGATACCGTATTAAACCTTCGCCGTGTGTTCGAGCCATAAGGAATCGAGAAAAATTTTCACGCTACGATTGGTATCGCGATTAAATATCAATTTCCGCGTACAATTTTAATTTGAATCGTAATAGTGGAACGTGGAAAAGAAAAGAGTATATATCGTTTAAACAACTTATAATTCAATTTTTGTTAAATATATTCGACTAAATTTTTCCGAAACTTGCTGCTTAACTTCCGTTGACCACGTACCTACCAGTCTGTTTGACTCCACCATTAATCTGTCCCCAACACTTGCTTCTTCTTCCCTATATAGATCACTCCAAATTTATGAGAAACGTTTCCTGGAATATCCGTAGAAAAAAGCGTATCCTGTAACAGAGTTGTAGAAAGTTTCAAACTTTTGATTAATTTTCAATTAACCGTATTAATCGTACCTCTTTCGTTTCTTTTTCGAATCACTGTCCGGATAACGTCGGTCAAATCCACTGATCAAAAGAAAGAAAGAAAGAAAGTAAAATCGTGGTATCCGACATTAAAAGTCCCCAATATGCAAACGTATCAATAATACGCTCATAGCCTTCTCAATATCAAACAAATTTTCCTAATTATCCTCCACCAATAAAAACAAAAAGAAGAAAAAGAAAATGAAAAATCGTAAAACGGGAAGTCCTGTTAGCTTTAACTCCAGAAATCCCCAAGATGCAAACGTATCAATAACACGCTTATGGCCAACTCAATACCAAACAAATTTTCCTAATTATCCACCCACCCCATAAAAGGAAAAAAATATAAACCATGAAACGAGAAGCCCAGTTACATCCAATTCCAGAAATCCCCAGATGCAAGCGTATCAATAAAACTCTCTTATAGCCATCTCAATGTCAAACAAATTTTCCTAATTATGCTCCACCAAAAAAGAAAAAAGAAAGAAATGAAAAATTATAAAACGAGAAGCCCTGTTACATCCAACTCCAGATTATCACTAACACGCTTAAAAAGACGAGAAACCTCGCCACACAGGATCTCAAAATCCCTTAGAATATAAACACACCCGCGCCACTCCCCTCCTATCCACTCCATCAACCTCTTATCACTACGAGCTCAAAAAACCCAGCAAATCTCGACTCCCCTATAAAAAGAAAAGAAAGAGAAATCTTAGGAACGAGAGACCTCGTTACACCCGAGCTCAAAATCCCCCAAAACGCAAACACACCCGCAACACTCCTCCTCCTATCCACCTCATCGATCTCTTATCACCAGCAGCCCAAAAAACCCACGAAATCTCCCGACTGTATAAAAAAGGAAGAGAAAAAGCAAGAAAAGAAGCAATGCAAAGAGCTGAGAACCCATGAAACGAGTAAGCCCGAATCGCGTGCATTGCCGAAAAGCCCTAAAACGCAACCGCGTTCGTGACAACCGCGCGCAATCCCGTTTCTATGGCCTGTTATCGCTATCTCGTGGCACGATAGGAAGTGGAAAAAACACGGAGTAGGAGAGGAGCAGCGGTGGAGATAGAGAATGGCCGCATAGCCATAGAACGAGAGAGGGAAAG